TTTATAGAACATAATAAAACTGAACTTTTAATCATTTCGCAAATTTTCAATTTAAGTATTGCAAGTCTCTTACATTTGGGCAATTAATGCTGTCATGACGAATTTTCTGGCGCAATTAAAAACGTTCAACTTATCTAAGCAAATTTGAATTGTATATCAACAAATAACTTTAATGCGAGCGCATTTTTTCGCCATTGATGGCTAGCTTAATCATGTAACCTTGTTTAAAGAGGTCTTGACAGGTACTACTGGCTTAGATTTGATTAGTGATTGACAGTCTGCGCTTGTGCTGCATGTATCAGTCAAACTATTTGAGAATTTGTTACTGCAATTTCTACTATACAAACAGAGCAAAGTAAACAATGTTATAACCAACCCAATAAACGTTCACTTAGCCTGGCTTTATGACTTAGCTCAGACGTTAAATGTGTTTTTCGGTCACATAATATAGCTGTCAAACATAACATAGCTAGTTACATGTACACTGAATACTTTTTAATAATATCTTCTCTATCTATCTTCCTAATATATAGACTTGTTACTTTGGACTATTAAGAAAATACGCTTTTAAATGTGCATCGGAAAAGACAGAATATGACATGAAGATATTTAACATCTAAACTAATGCAATTCCTTGGCTAATGTTGAAATTTTAAAAACATCAATGGATAAACAATGTGCATAAGAAATTTCAACACAACAATCATTGCACATAAAAGACACTATAAGTATTATAGATCAAGTGTCATTGGATCATGTTCAAAAATATAAATCATACGTTCATTCTAAGATTTAACCCTCAAGAGATTATTTACTATTGTTTTAATCATCGTCACTAAAATTCCACACACTGGGATTGTGCATATAAAAATCAAGACTTTCAGAAAATTGGGCATAAGATTGGTAATTTTTTGGCAACGTCAGGATTTCAAAACATGTTCTTGATTTCAGTCTTATACCAAGGTCTGCCATTGTTTCCATCATGAAAATATTCTATAGAATATTCTATTGAAATATTTTATAGAAATATTCTATAGAATATCCTATAAAATATTCTAAAAGATTTTGGCACTAATTCTATAGAATATTCTATAGGATATTCTATAGGATATTCTATGGAACATTCAATAGAAGATTCTATAGAAGATGCTATGGAAGATTCTATAGAAGATGCTATAGAAGATTCTATAGAATATCCTATAGAAGATGCTGTAAAATGCTATTGGATATAAGATATGCTACATACAGTAGCATATTCTACAGAACATGCAATTTTGTAATATTGCACAATTAAGAGATGCTATTTACTCTTCTGTGCAATATTACCAATATATTATGTCTAGCTACGAGAAAACACCAAAGATGAAAATCACTTCAAGAATAAAAAGATATATATTAGGAACAGTGGCACATGTGTATTTTACTTTATACGTTAGATCTTTTTAAAATGTTTGTCTGACCAGTAGCTCAGTTCATAATTTTTTACAGGACTTCTTTTTAGCGTTCTCAACCCTTTACAATATTACCAATTCTCTGCATCATTACTTGGCGCACTTCAGATGCAAGATAACCATATCTTTTTGAAGCATACTCTACATTAAGGAATATGATTGGAAAATTATTTAATAATGCAAGGATGGGATAGCATACAATATATATTTAGCTAAGTAAAAAAGTTATTAGCTTACCGCATATGCTATTGACTTTTTCCTGGTCTAGTTGTGGCTTGGCATCCTTCTCCTTGAAAGCATTGGAGGTGTTTCCTGTCATGGAGCGTGTGGACGAACCTCCTGGCTCCACAACATGCCCATAGTCGCATAAACAAAATCCTTTAGATTGGCTTTTCCTTTTAATACCTTCTGCTGACTCTTTGTTATAGAGATACTGGGACATAAGGGCACCTACAAATATATTTTTAACCTTTTTGTGAGTTAGGAAAAAATAACATTGAATTGGTAACTTAGTCAGGCACATATCTAAATATTCATCAACTTTGATTGATAATAAAAGCTGACAAAAATTTCCCAAATAATGGTGATGTGTGCTTTTTCTCATCTACACAGACATTAAGATCAAAAGCACAACTTCCAAAAACATACCTTTTGTTTTGTTAAATTGTATTTACCCTTCAGAGCTTCCTATTCAGTAATTCTCGATGGGCTATCTGAGGATCTGGTTGAATTCTTCTTTCGTCGTTTTTAAGCCTATAAAAACATTAATTTATTAGTGTCTCAGTCTATCTGATATATACTACCAGAACCATAGTGTAAAAATATTGACTTCTGTTGTTGAATTTTAATGCATTTGTTTCGGAATGACAAACACGAAAACAGTTTATTAAATTTACTAGAAATACATGCATGCAGCAACCCCTCGCCTCGGTTAAGCCAATTGAGTTAAGCATAGGGATGGTAACATGATAGTTGGAAAATTTTGTGTGGGTTGGAGAGTTTGGAGGGTACTTGGTATTGTTGGTATGTGAGAAGCGAAGAATGGAATATATTTCTGGAAGCGGAAGTACTGTAGTCATAGCAACTCGCAACCAACATCGCAACGGCCGTATATTTTCAAAGAATCAAAGTTTACCCTCATATTTTTGTGAAAAAAAAGGCAAAAATACGACAAGATTCTAACCATTTTCTGTTACTCATCTATAGTCAGTGTTATAGTAAATTATTTTAATCATTAATTACTATGAAATATAACATCAGACGTCTCATACGACTTCCGAAGTTTTATGTTTACGCTTCGACTGGTTTTTGCACGCGAATATTTTGAAAAAGTTGAGTTTTTAAATGAAATTATAATGTCGCCTATCATATTACACATTCAGATTTGTAGTGAAATACGTTTGAGAATACTAAAGTTGTGTTTACCACGAAATACCTGTGCCAGGTTATTTTCAAGTGTAAAATCTTCCGATTTCATCATACACGGTGAATTCAGTAGAAAATTTAGTCTTGTTTTTTTTTGTTAAACCGTAAACCTGACCACATTCAACTGATTTGAGTTTCCTTCTGATGTAATTAAAAAATATATATATTCCATATTTATGAAAATATAAATAATATGAAAATATATTTAAAAGTTTCTTCAAAATTTTGCGAAATGACAGTTATGCATGTTTAAGAATACAAATATTTGTCTCGACCAATCAAGAGCTTAGTACACTGGCGCATGCGCATAACCTAGAAGACCGTCCATGGTGTGAGGTCCATTGCATAATGGTGGACAACTTTGATTTCGCCTTTGCACACCTTGGGTGTAAATATCCGAGCGGAATTAGTACCCTCGCACGGTGCTCCGCACTGGCTCGGGGAAAAAACACACTACTAGCAAGAACACAAACTTTTACCTTTTCTTGTGTGACTTCTGGCTGTAAATCTTCCCACTCTTGATCTGACTCAACATACCTACCATTTTTTTTGGTACCACCTTGTCCTCTTCCATGCACAGGGGTGTCTGTTGAGCCAGTTACACAAAACCTCGAATAGTTTCGTAGACATCTGATAACAAGCATAGATTTATCGGTTATTATTAATATATAGCCAGTCAATATTAGGTAATAAGCTATTACTCGAAACAAAAAGGTAGACATTTCCCTAACTGAAAAAGAAAATGCCCTGGGCAATATATTATCTATAAAGATTAAGTATTTACAGAAGAAGAAAGCAGAGCTATGAACATGCATGGTCATGATAGATCTGTGACTCTCTCATCATGCCACAGACAGCTTCATTTACCCAAACCTTTTTAATACACTAAAATGTTACATGATACGAATTTTGATATCTTTTTTCATGCAATTAATGTTATTAGGCTACACAATTATGTTTATATTGTGATTATATAGTATCAGACAAATGATTAACTTTAGTCTCTTGTGTTTTTTGGCAGTTTATATTATTTGGCAATTAATCTAGTATCAAATGTATCATATTATTATATAAAACCGTTTGAGGTGAATTAAAATTTGTCGGTGGCTCGCCAGCAGAATGCAGGCACGGACCCAGCCGAAAATCTGACCGTGTAATATAGGACTAAAAATTTCCCCAGGGGGGGGGGTGTGTTGGTGGGGTGAATGGGCTATGATGGACCCTCCGAAACAATCCCTGTACTTTCACAAAACCATTTTCAAAATCTTGGGTAAGGTATATTTACCAATATTTCATTAACATAACGTGAATTTTGCATACACAAATAATTCACAGACTACAGCGTAAATGCAAATTTGTATCATAGGGCGCTTCCATTAAGCGGCCAAAAAGGTTAGACTGGTCATACTTTAAATTGAAATTGAGTATTTTGTTAAGAATACAGCGGTGAAACTACATTTCTCGTGCTAGGCAGATGTAAATAACGATATACTTCTTGAAACACTTTAAAATACCAGTAATCTGTCTTACTGAAATACAACTGAACCGGTCTGGCCATTTTTTGTATAAAGCAGAGTGCCTATTGTTCGATTTAAAACCTAAAAGTCTTACCTTACAAGGACATTAAGTAAAGATTTTCAGTATTAGTCTCTTGGGAAATAGCAGTTTAAAAATTGTCGTTGGAATTGTATAACACAAGCGAGCAAAGCCTTTCTTTAGTAATAATTCCATCATGTTGTAGCCTGAAGAGTGATATTTCCCCTGAAATATGTTCGCTGACATTTGCTTTTGAGAAATTTTGACAGATTCATGTATTAATGCATTTGATTCAGCCTGAATCAGCCAGGATGCAGTGAACAGACCAATTTAACGTGTTATGTATAAACTATATCCGAGTTAGAAGTCAAGAAGTGTCGAACTTTATTGTTTATCACGCTTATTGCATAATCAAAAATAGGCCACCGTGCCGCATTGCGTTGCACCGTGGCAAAAGCTTGCCCTGTGATTGGTTTGCTACACTGCACCATGCTGTGTCACAGTGGTGTGTCATTTGATGGAGCAGTCCTGCTCAATAAGCTGGGAATATGCATGTCTCCTCAGAGAATGATCAATCTCCAGAAGGAGATGGGGAAGGAACACGATGCAAAGCTGCAGATGTGGAAAAGAGATGTACAACAAAATGAGTCTGCTTGTATGTTGCTACAGGAAATTATTTCCAAACAACTGCCGCCATTGGCAGAGGATGACATGGAACTGAATCGTACTGTAGATATGAATGAGGAATCAATGCAACAATACACGTTTTATAACAAGGACATATACAGTTACTGTTTGTCAATTATTACACCTATAATGGAACAGTTGAATGAATGCCAGACAACTGAGGACATTTTAAAGGCAGCAATGGATGTGCTTAAAGGACAAGAAATCCCTTATTACAAGTGAGTGCATTTGTATGGTAGGTTGTTGATCAGAAAAAAATACACAAATTGGTCCAACTATCACTATTAAAGTACACAATCATATTGCTGTACTCATACCAGAGTATTTACACCCCAACCTCCGACCCCCCCTCTGAAGAAATAAACCATTCCAAAAAGTTGTCTGCTCTGGCTATATAGAACATAGTTTTCATTATTTGGGATATTGGGTTCAGAGTTCATTATCTTGTTGCAGATGGCATACTACAAAATCATAGAGTTCTATTAGTTAATATGAAAGATCTAAATTTATATGTTTATGTCACCAGTAACAAGGTAATAAAGCTGGACTCTAAATCCTGTATGTATCTCAACTCAGATTCAATAACCAAGGCCAAGTACATTTTCAAAAGGGTTTTGTGGGATCACCTCCCACCCCCTACCCCCCCTGACATAATGGAAACAAATATCACATATTTTGTATGATATTAATATTATAGATAACAGGCATTTTGGGTTTTGATTTAAAGGATTGTTGGTGACAATCTAGACTTTGAAGTCCATGCTAGAGTGCAAAGCAAATCCCACCATAACCAGTCCATCCACTGGACCCACCAGTATGGCATCAAAGATAGAGTTGTAGATCGAACATTGGAGACAACCCGAAGTCAGAAGCCAGCTAATAAAGTCCAGCTTTCAAGCCTGCTTCCAGATGAAGCTACTTGTTTACGACTGCAAAAGCGATGGGCTGTGCTTGTAAGCCGAGTTGTTACCACATACCTAAAAGAATTTCAGTTCCTCAACAACCACGCATTATGGCACATTCTTCATAAATACTCAACTGAGATGGCACAGAAGTCTGAAATTGTAAGTAATGTTGTTTCATAGCTAATGCAGAATTATACAGTACATGTATATGCAGAAAATTGTATACCGGTATTTTATATTTATTAATTAAAAGGATATAGTGCTATAGTTTAACATCACATTGAAATATGATAGACTTATAGATTCTTATTTGTTGTAGTGCTCTCTTGACTTGGAGTTTGTGAATGCAAACATATCTGGGGAAATGGCACAACTCATGATTTCTAACCAAGAACGATATGTACCAACAATTGTCAATAATATAGGGAATAAAGAAATAATTAGACCAGTTGCTATGCACGGTGATCAACTTTTTGAAGAACGGGCTAGGAACGTTCAGTGGACTTACAGAGTTGGTGACAACAAGTTTGATCGATTGGAGGGTATTTGTGCAGAATTTGCTGATTGGCATGCAAAGGTCACATTGTACAAGGTAATACAATAATTGGTGTATATTTATGGAGGGGGAAGATTTTTTTTGTATTAATTGTAATTTATAAAAAATTGCAGTACTAGCAAAAACCCCCACCCAAATTGGAGCAAAAGTTTAAAATAACACTGTGTATTATCAAACTTACTATCCAACCTGTCACATTGTCAACATAGCCTAAAGAATTTAATATTTTTTATTTAAAATTCTTTAGAATTTTGGGCATATTCTTTGACAAATGATGTGCAATTTTAATCCATGAATTGGCAGAGCTTCCCCAATGACAAGTAAAATCGTCTGGTGTTAAATAAGTAAAAAACTAAGGGTGCATCGACCTTTCTTTGTATAATATAGATTGAATTTGATAGATTTGTGAAACACAGCTCTGCAGGTGAATTAGGCACAACACGTTCAAGTCTGAACAGAACAGGGAAGACAACTGCTGCTCAAGGCATTGAGAACAAGTACAATGAGTACAAAGAGTTCAATGACAGAGAGGTGGAGGCCCATATATGTGCTGCATTCATGGAAATGTCAGATATGGTTACCATGGAATGTGAGTACTAATTACTGCATTTGTACTTACTAACTGCAAATTTTTAGGGTGTAATATGGTCCTTATTTCTGGATAATTGCATCAGGAATGGCACCTGTTTTAACAATGATTGTATTCAGTGTGCAGTATTGATGTTAAAGTAAACTACTACCGGTGTGGATAGTAATAGAATAGTGCCTGGATGTTCTTAGATGAAAAGCTTGTAACAATATGTATTCAGGAAATTAATTCAAGCCAATGTTCATTGTGCACCTGATTTAATGATGTGTGAGAAAAAAATTATAAGTTAATGTATATATAATTCAATGTTTTGTTGTACAATTTTTATTTCTTAGCAAGTCCATCATATGATCTTCCTGATGAGACAATTTCAAGAGATGCTAAATCTCATTGGCTGCTTCAGATTTGTGAGCAGTGACAACCCACCTCTTTGGCTCTGGAGAAATAATGAATGTTGCTCAAAAAGCTGATGATCTGCAAAAAGCCTTAAGCGGTCCATTTCATTGCAGACAACATGATTGTGGCAAGATATACAGCCAACACTCACGGAGAGTAAAGTAAGAAATACCATTAATTCACTGTATATCATAATATAATAATTACAGGATTAATTATTTTAAAAACTTTCTATCACTGTTATTCTCTTGAATTTTTTTTTTCAAGACATGAAATAGATGTACATGGAACAAAATTCAATGAGTCCACTGCATCTGATCAGGATGAATTTGGTTATTATAATTGTGCAGCAGGGTGTGGATATGTGTTTAGTACAAAAACAGCCCAAAACAGGTACAAAGAAATTGGTTACAATATACTGTACAGTAGTTGCATATAGGAAAGCACTTGCATGTACATGTACCTACAGGTACTGTATATTATGACAAGCAGAATGTTTCTATATATTGCATTATTATTTTATATCACTGTTCATTATTTTGTGTATTACCGACACTTGAGAGACAAACATGGGGAGTTTGAACTAGATAATGAAGAAGTCCATGATGGCAATGAGACCATACCAAAGTCCGATTATAAATTAAATTATCATCGGTCAAAGCTCATCTTTGGCTTGATGTTAAGAGATTTTAATGACACTATCCGGGAAGGAGATGGCGAACACCTATTTGATCTTTACAAGCTTGCTTTGTTACTCTACCACAGTGAAAAACACACAAAGTATGCTTACGTTGTCATGCTTCACCTTCTAAAGATTGTTGCTATACTCCCTGAATTTGATGCTCATAGATTGAAATGGAACAGGTTCTACAATAAGTATGGCGGTAGAGGAAACAATATTTCACTTGACCTTAAGAAAGAGCAACAAAACAAGGTTCTTAAGACCTTTTAGAGATCCCTAGGTGCAAATATCAACAAGACAAATGCTGCCAGAGTGGCTCATGCATTAGAACCACTTGAAGCCATTATGGAATCTGTGAATGCAGACTGCCAATATTGTGGACGGATTGGGCGACGATCTGTGCCAGATCAGAAAGAGAGTGTCAGGCAAATTGTAGATGACCTTGTTGCTGAAAAGGTATTTCACTTCACAGAAGGGAGAGAAGGGCATGCTTCATTCCCACGTTTTGATGGGCGACTTTTCAGAGACATTGACTACCGTGAAGTTCACAACTGGATGAGCGAACATATCAAATTATGGGCATCTATATATGAGTCAACTGCCTGATTGTTTATCTGCTGTGGATATAATGTGGATTTTCCCTCTATATGAAAGTAGAAAATTCAATGGATAGAATAAACACCATTGATTAAAAATTAAAACATTGATTCACAGTCTAATTTCATAAGTACAACAGACATCAACAGCCTCACTTGTTTTGTATTGTAATATAATAAACTTATTACATAATATACAATAACATTTTAAAACCTGTTTCAAACATTTGTAACATATAGTATAAGAATTGAGGGTAAATTGACTTAGCATTCATGTTTCAAGCAACTACTGTAGTTACATACTGTATCAATGAAAATGAACCAAAAATCATTGTTGTTCATATAAGTATAGTTTAGAGAGATTGTCAGATTTTGTGGTTAACCCATTAAGTGGCAGAGCTTCCCCACTAATGAGTAAAATTGTCGAGCATTAGACAAGTAAAAAAATAAGTAGGGTGCACTGGGGTGCATTGCCACTTAATAGGTTAATTGTCCTCATTTACTGTATTAACTGTACTCACCATGAATTCAGTTTCCTCATCACTAAGGAACTCTGTTGTGCATATTTCATCACCCATGTCTGTAAAATCAAAGTTCAATCCTTCACATACATGCATACCAGATTTTGACAAGGTATCACTTGTGTTGTCTTCTTCCATGTCATCAAATATATCCTGAAATACCTCCATTATTTGCAATGCAGTTCTAACTGAAAATACTGGAAATTTCAAAATGTCACTGAGAGTGAATATAAAACAGGAATTCTCAACTAAATGTTCAACAAGTTCGTCTGAAAAGCCATGAACTTCTAAAGGGCAATGGTGCTTGAACTTGTCCTTAAGTTTGTAAGGGCATCACGAATGTCATCTCTCTGTTGGTCACTGAGATCTCTCTTCCTTGGTGGTTGAGGTGCTTCCTGGTCTGGTATAATATCCTTTTCAAATGGAAGTTTTGACTTGCTACAGCTATCACTGCACTTGCATATTAGACTGCAAGTGCTGCAACAGTCATGGAGTGGTTCTACAGGCACTACATTTGGAACAAAAGGCTTTAAACTTGCCACACGATAGCATCCTTCTGTACGAACAAAATGTTTAACATCATCTTCACAGTGAGCAGTCTGGTTACCATGGTAAATAATAATACTATGGGCATGCTGTCCATCTCGACCTGCCCGTCCTGCTTCTTGATGATAGTCTATGAGTGTCCTTGGTGGCCCCCAGTTAATTACGTAGTGTACATCAGGAAAGTTAACGCCCATACTAAGTGCTGTTGAAGCAATTATAATTCTTTGGATACTATCATTCCCACAACCTTTAAATGATTCAAGCAGTTTTTTCTTAGTGCCGGCCCAAGTCATGGAATGGTATATGCCAACAATGCAGGTTCGTGTACCATCTGCTGCTTCATAATAAACATCTTTTCCCATCTTTAAAAGCAAATAGTTGCAGACTGAAGCAATTTCATTCATCATGTTACAAAATATGATTGTTTTTGGCATATTCAACCCCTTTTCCAAAGTCAGGTCGATCAGCCAATCCAGTTTTTGAAGTATTGTTGCCTTTTTGCACTCTGTCACCGATATTCGCAAATTTGTCCTCTCTGGACTGATTAAGATCTTCACTGGGTCCTTTAGTGACAACAGACTAATAATTGTACCCTGGGTTTTCGTGTCGGCAGTGCCAGTCAGTGCTAGGAATGGTGTTCCTAAAATAACATAGTCTATACTTAAAATGGGTTGATACAGAAAAGATCCTCACTACCCAGAGGAAATTTCTACTGGCTGAATGGAAAGAGGGGAAATGTACTTCTTATAATAGTAAAATGTTCTAGGACATCATAAGGGGTAGGGGAGCTAGTGATTTCAATTTATAGTGCTATCTGTTTTAATTTAGGTTTTAATATTTAGACACTATTAAAATATCAGAAGATTTGTGCAAGTGTCGGTAGCAATAACAGCAAAAGAATCAAATAGTACCAACCTTTTTTACAAAAGGATCGTAGAATTGACAAATCCCCATAAGCGCTTCTGAAAGCCTTGTCTTTCTTGTTTCTGTAAAGAAATATACCCCCTTACTGTAACAACTGCATTCCTCGAAATAAGAGACAGTATACAGTATATAATGTACTATATAATAATTATAGCAACTAAAATTCTTAATTACCAAGAAATTATTATACCTCTTCCCTGTCCATGTTTCCACAGTATGTGATTCGTCTACGACTATAGCGTGAACATTTCGTTTCTTATTCAGCGATTCCCTAAATGCCTTTAGACTCGCTGCTTCGGCAGAGGCGAACACAACATCAGGGACATCATTCATTTGTTCAAAAATATTTTCTGAACACGTACTAAGGGATACGGCTTTAAGCCCATACGACTCAGCCTCCGTTATCTGGTCTTTTACGATGCTGTCCAAAGGACAAATGACAAGAACAGTGCCCGGGCTAGTGCTGTATCTTGTTGCTTCGACTGATTTTGCAATCGCAAATAGCTGAAAAATCAGGCTTTTGCCAAAGCCTGTCGGCAAGATCGCGAGGACATCCCTTCCAGAAAGAAGACTTTTTATTGCTTCTTCTTGCTCATCTTTTAAGGTCAGCCTTCTACCGGTTGTTGTGAAAATTCGATCCAGCGCTTCGTTCAATAAGCATGCTTTTACTGTCGCCATTTTTATTATTTCAGAATGCTAATTGCATGGACCGGAAGCAACAACACTTTGAGCCAGATTTTGACCAATCAGTATTTTCCGTTCAGAATCTGAATGGAGAATTCATTTTTATTAAGGACGGTTGCAGGCGCTTTATTTTTCCTTCGCGCATTTTTTCCCCGCCCCTTTTTTCTTTTCCCCGCCCCTTTTTTCTCGCTTTTATTTTCGTCGAGGTTTTTCCGCATCGTCAAGACATCCAAAAAATAAAGCGACTGCTACGCAGGCTACGCTGACCGTGTCAACAAGTTGCTGTGATCGCAGCTTCGAATGCACGACTAGCTTCCGAACATACTCAGTACAATTTGGCAAGCTTTTGGCAAATTCTATAGTTCAGTGTCAACTGAACAATCATAATATGAAACAAGGAATAATAATTGGGAATTTGTTCCCACTTTTAGCAGGAATTGGTAATATGACAACGATTACAAAAGATATTACTCACATTATTTGTTTTAGACATATATTTCCTTAATCTTGGTTGGTGTGATTCAAAGAATTAATATGTACTTCTAAATAATGTATGAATATTAGATTGTAGATGGGAAAATTCTGGATGGGAAAATTTGACTGTGGCTCGAGCCACGTTGGATACGGTCTTGATCAGCGCCTGGAATGTTTCTTAACATCAGCTGTATTAGAATAAAAAAGAAGTAATTGACGCAATGCATATAAGTTAGTGTAGGTTTTGATGCATCTGTTAAACTATATAGTGTTTAGAATGTTTACATATGCACAAAATTATGCTTCGGCGCATCTATGCAGAATGCTTTGAAGAATAACATTTCAGTATTTAATTTTCCCTATCGAAGAGATTAAACATTACTATTGATATAAATGAAAGGAGCAAACACATACCACTGAAAATTATCACTTTCGCTACACAGGTCGTAGTCAAAACCAACATTGGGTCAATGGATCCCTTAACAATTTTCATTGACACCTTCGCAAATTGATGTGGCCATGCCATTATAACTTTTTTTTCTCTGTCCGAGCCAACATTTGTGAATGTGCTAGCATCTTCACGACAAATCCAGCGTGTTTTGCCAATCTCACAAGACTTTTCATCAACAAATTCAAACAAGGCGTACTTCATTTTGAAGAAAAAACACACTGTCGATCAAGGTGAGATGTGATCTTTGAACTTTGAAACCAACATAGCATGAGCCGCATTCACTGTAGCAATGAGCTTATGTGTTTGACCTTTGGACAGCGGTTTTTGTTCTTCTGAACCCAAGCCTCTGCTCTGCCCAAAGCTTTATCCATGTGATAGCACGCAGTTAATGCTAAAGTATGTAGATGTTGATGCAACTGTGGATTACTTTCTATAATTTTTTTCATGTGAAATTATTTTTATGATAAGAAATAATACGGCCTATCACAAAGAGTGCAAAACGTTTTTAACAGTACACGTTTTAAGCAACAGATGTCACGTAGAGGATCGTATAAACGCTACGAGTATGACCCTGCTGTCCCGGTTCCAAAACGTACATTCTACAGGAGAAAACCTCAACATGACGAGATAGAAGCGACAATCAATACTTTGGATGACAGTGGCAATGGATGTAATACGGTATGCGAACATATTTATGGTTATTACTAGCTCACAAAACAGATATTATTCTGATAGATATAAATCTGTATGGAACTAAATTGGTGAGTAATCTGACGCCAGGTTATTATCACACATTGATCATATGGGACAAAGATACCATACAAAGAGCAGGATTTGACTCTTTCCAAAAACAAGAGACCGTATATGTAATGATGTCGCATGTCAATTTGTTATTTTCCCTTGGGAAATTAAAATAATCTTAATAATTGGTTTTGTAGAGATTTGGTGAAAGAGCTTTGAGGGAAGAGAACCTGCCTGCAGTTGAACCGAATCTGCAAGCAGCTGAACAAAATAATCAAGATGGATGTTTACAGGTAAGATATCTTCATTAATATTTTATATTTGGGGTTTAGAACTACAATATTACACTGCACATACTTGATGTAGATATTAAGTGTATGTAACTTTCATCTTATATTGTCATATATTTCATTGTCGATTGCAATATATAGGTTGGAGATTCAACCGATGAAGGTGATACAAGTGAATCTGACATGAATGTCATGAAGTGACATGAATGACCACAATGAACAGGTATTTTACATCACCTTATTGTTTAAACTGTGTCGTACAGTCTAACCATTTTGTCATGTTGTATTTCATGCATGTGTACAATCATTGCTATCCATCATCAAAGCATACAATAATTTTTTCAGTGTGACAACTTACCCATCTGTTATAATAAGTGTCATTTGTCAACAGTTCCATACCTGTGAACTACTGTAAAGAAACACTTAATGTTAGCATTGATATTAAAAAAAAAATAAATGACATGACGATGATTAATGATAAAAACCTTGGTATATAGAATACCGGTATTATACTTTAAATGTTGTGCGAAATTAAAGATGTAAACCAGAAAGCAGTTTGCCAACTGAAATATTCTATCTGCATATACTTCTTGTTAACATATTAACCTTTTTATTGTTTGAGAACTATGAAAATGGCAATGATCCAACATATCCTGGTGCAGATGTCCCAAAAACTGAGAGTCTTCTCCTAATAATGTGCTTTGTGCTTAGACACAAACTTACCAATGTGGCTTTAGGAGATCTGCTGTTGTTATTAAACAGTTTTTTTCCTAACGTTGTTCCAGCTACGAAGCACCTGTTTTATAAATTTTTCAACCTAGAGCAATCAGAGGTATGTACATGCATTTTGTTTAGACAGGGTGGCAATCACATAACTAATTTCACTGAGAGTTAAATTAATAGCCTTTGACTCTATTCACATGGTATCGGACCAGTTTGAAGAGACCCTGCGCAACTGCCATTATTTTTATCATTTATTCAATTGACTTAACATTGCTTACTTCTTTACAACTCTGGAAGCACTTCTAATGCTCAACATGTAATTCATACTTGGGTAAGAATACTGCAATGCCAACCTGCAAGTCATGTGACAGTGCATTCAATGAAGGTGATAGTTTAAGGAATGGACATTATTTTATTTACATTCCTCTCCAGCAGCAGATTAGAACATTACTCTCAAATGCCAAACTACAGGGTGTATCAGAAAAAACTAGAAGATTTTAAAATGTTCAAAAAACTATCATTTTATCAAAATATCACAAAAATATACTTACGTCTAAGTATTTTAGCATCTTCTGGCTTATCGAACAGTAAAAGCTATCAGAAAAATTAACCTAAAAAAGCGGGAGAACGGTTTGTAAAAGCCTCATTTTTAACCGCTTGCGCAAAGAAAATGAGAGGTTCAAAATCCAAGTTCATTTAAAGAGATGAAAGTTTGGACCCTTTTGTGCAAAGTATCAAAATTTCAGGAAATTTGATAAACATTAAGTCCGCCGTGGAACGTTTCAAAATTGGACTTTTTTCCGTTTACTCCGCTCTCGCGTAACCTTTTTTCATGCAAGAATGATTACATGCATGAGTGATGGTTCGAATGACGTACTTAAACATAACTAACAATGAATACTCTTGTTTCATTGTTTTATTTAACAAAGAGTTTTGGTAATTACATCTGGAGAATGCAAAAGTAGGGCAGAAGTTTGCGTGCAAAGAAATGGAGGACATGTTGAGAACTAACAACAAATTTTGTAAACTCTGCTCTTGTTTGCAATTGTGTACTGTTTGACGTTTTTGTGTAGTTTATTTTTAACAATAGCATTATTAGATACAGCATCAATGTAAGGAGGTATAACAATAGGATAGTAAGTAGCTACGTCATTCGAACCATCACTCATGCATGTAATCATTCTTGCATGAACAAAGGTTACGCGAGAGCGGAGTAAACGGAAAAAAGTCCAATTTTGAAACGTTTCACGGCGGACTTAATGTTTATCAAATCTCCTGAAATTTTAATACATTGCACAAAAGAGTCCAAACTTTCATCTCTTTAAATGAACTTGGATTTTGAACCTCTCATTTTCTTTGCGCAAGCGGTTAAAAATGAGGCTTTTACAAACCGTTTTCCTGCTTTTTTAGGTTAATTTTTCTGATAGTTTTTATTGTTAGATAAGCCAGGAGATGCTAAAATACTTAGACGTAAATATATTTTTGAGATACTTTGATAAAATGATAGTTTTCTGGACATTTTAAAATCTTCTAGTTTTTTCTGATACACCCTGTATATTCACATTTAACCAATAGAAATTTAGAAGTCAGCATTGGCCGTTTTCACACTAGAGACTGTCTCATTTTCCAGCATCTGGATGCATAATGTGTCTTCAATATTTTTGTCTATTATAAAGATGGGATTGAAAATGGGCGAAATGAAATCAGGAACAGCATCTGGTGGACACATGGCTACCAAAATTGGGATCATCATCACTCTTTCAAAAAGAGGTTTAGAGTCTCTCGAAACACATTTGAGTATATTTTGAGGGCGATCAGCGACCTTATTAAAAAAGAGCCAACTCGTATGGTCGCTCATCCTACTCCACCTGTAGCTTAGTTAGCATTGAGATTATATCGACTTGCACATGGATGTACTTTTTCCACCATCAGAGACCTCTTTGGTGTTGCAGAATCTACAGCACATAGCATTTTCCATGATATTTGTAAAGCAATTGTTGAACATTTGTATGACATGCCATGAATGGAGTCACGAACTTAGAAGTTTTCTTGAAAATTGGGAGTTTCCGTGTGTAGGGGCATGGGATGGGTTTCAAATTTTTGTTTCAAAAAAACTAAAAAATTTTTACAGCTTCAAAAAGAGGTACTCTGTAATAAATATGGGTTTTATTAGGCATAACAAGCATTTTATGTGGGCTGCTGTTGGTGCTCCAGGATCAACACATGACTCAAGACTTTTACGAAACTGTAGTATTTATTCAGAGTTCAACGATAGCTATGTGCTGCCAAACAGGTCTTTGCCTCTTGGTTCTTAT